CCCTCCCCCCTCCCCCCCCCTCCATCTTTCCCAGGAGGTGGCTGGCGTGATGATAAGCTCCACTGCCTTGGTCCCTTATTGCTCGACTTTCGGTCCGGTCAAGGTAGCTTGGTATTTTGACTTCTCTAATAAATTAGACTAAAATGTTTTTGTGTCTGCATTCCTTATGTGCACGGTGTGATTGTTATGGCAGTCACTGCAAGGGCAGGGATTGTACTACCCCTTTCCCGTGCATTGGGTATAGTTGTGGCCCTCCAAAGGTCAGCCAAACAATGGTGGCTGCCCCCATGCTCACCCACCCTCCTCTTTGCTCTATTTTCTTTGATATAATCCTTGTACACTGGTCATGCATGATTATGAGCTTCTTAGTAACCGTGTCTCTTTGTCGGCACTGCTCGTCCGTTGGTGCAAGACTCTTTACATTGCAGTCACTAGCGCACTTTACCAGGAAGTGCAGTTTCGCGTCGACGCTGAGCTCATTAGGTGACCACGCTGCTACCGTCCTCGCCTGAATAGAATATGGTCATTATGGCCGTCTAGACTGAAAGTTGACCCCAACACAGCTATAATGACAGTACAGAGAACATCACTCAAAAAGGGTGGCAGGATTACGACCGGAGTGATTGGGCCAAAAACCAATCGCTTTGGGGTTTCCTACACCGGAAAACTCAAAACTTAAGACCATGACTACAATCCGGACGTCCGGACTGCCGTCCAGACGGTCTGGATTCCGGACTCTGGTCCGGAAGGTCCGGATCTGCCAAATTTCAAGGGGAAAAAAAAACAAAAACAAAAACGGTGCAGGACCCTTCCCACTGAGGAGCCAAGCCCCCAAATTTGTTTTGGGGGTTTTTCAGGCCCGTTTTTGTTTTTTGGGGGGTTCCGGACATGGTCTATCTCTACAATAATTTATTAGTAATACCCAAGTAATGAATTACTAATAATTATAATAATTCATTACTTTTTAAAGTCTTTTTTCAAGTTTTTTTTATTTTTTTACTTTTAAGTTATAACTCAGATTAGGTTAGGAATTCTGACATGACTCTGAGGAAAAAGTGGTTTGCATTGTTATGTTCTTCATAACATATTTTTTTTTCAAAAAAAAAAATCTTAATGGTCCAGACATTTTTCAACCGTCCGGAACCATGCATGTCCAGAGGTCTGGATGTGTCTGGAAGTCCGGACCTGACCAGACATGCGTCCAGTACCCGGACATGAGCTGTCCGGGTCCGGGTCCAGGTGCAGGTCTGGGCCCGGCATAGCCATGCTTAAAACAGTTGTTTTGCAACTCATCATACAGCTATGTTAAACCACCAGTACTTGGCCCAGTTATCGGCTGTGTCGCTTCCCCGTTATCGGCCTACCGGACCGCATTGGCTGGAGGCCACAGCCAAAAAGAAAACAAAAAAGACCAATGGCGGTTCGGAGGCTCGATTTCTATAGCTGGGCCAAGTACTGGTGGTTTAAGATACTGGCGGCCCGACACCCTAGGGTCCGCTTGGATCCCACCATCACAGGCCCTGCAAAGTGTCAGCAGTCCTAGCATGAAAGGAGGAAAAAAGAAAAAGAAAATTAAAAAATATGCAAAAAAAAAGTGTTGTGTAACATGATTTTACACACAAGTTCCTTTCAACCCGTCTAAAGAGTTTAAACTTTAAACCCATTACGATCCCTTTCCTCTCCCCCCCCCCAAGTTTCAAGAAGAGGCGGATTGTGCATGTTCTCGACAAGCACATTCACACAACGCAGTCAGAAAAAAAGAGTCATATTCTCGACCCCCCCACCCGCTTTATTTTTAGGCACATTCAGGCTTGCCTGGATACACCAGGCAGACCCCCCCCGCCCTCTTCCCCCGCCAGGGCCGGGCGGACCTAGTAACCTAGTCATACAGTTTTGCAATGAAGGAATAATCAAGGAGGGGTGCCTCTTGAGCTCTTGCGTCTTAACATATGGCTGGTACCCTCCCTGGTCCTTGTTTTCATTCCATGACCATCAAATTGTTCCTACCTTGTTTTGGCCTGTGATTTATGGCTGATACCTTTTCTTTTTCTTTTTCCTATGTTGGAGGCGGACTCTATATGAATAATGCTGGAAACCGGGGTCCACGATCCCTTACATCAGATGTATTCTCGTTGGTCGTACCTGTTTTTTTTTTTTTTTTNGTGCGGGGGCCGGCAACCGTTTCCTTTTTCTTTATTGCTGAGGCTGGAAAGTGGTGATACCTTGTTTATTGTTCCATGGCCAGAAAATGAGGTCGTCAGATATGGAGATTTTGGTGCTCCTTGAAGCAGTGGACTCGTCAACCTCGTCCAAACTCCAAGGTACCTTGCACGCTCAGCAACGTTTCTTTTTTTTGGGAAAAGGCTATGTCTGCCTGGAGTCACAGCATCCAAACTATGGGCGTAGCAGGTCATCGTTTCTTTTTTTTTGTTTGTACAATTTGGCAAAAGGCTATGGGCCTCGTTAGACACTCCGTACGAGTTCCTTGCGCCATGTAATATCAGCCTTGGACACTGGGCCCTTTTTGTGTTAAAAAAAAAAAAAAAAAAAAAAAAAAACCCTGAATTTGGGCTCTTCGTTCCACCTGTCCTCGGGGACTTCGGCCGATGACATTTCCTAAGCCTGATGTCAGAAAAAAAAGAAAAGAAAAGAAAAAAAACAGTTGTGCTTCAGGCCTTCAGCCAATAGGGTGCAACCACGATCCAGATTCTCAGCTGCAACGTCTATCTACCCGTGTGCCCTCTCCTCTCCGTGAAACGTGGATTCCTTGTGCCCAAGGGACTTCGCGAGGTCCCTTGGGCACAAGGAAGAAATGGCTGGGGCCACAAGGATGTCACAAGGAATTTTCCTTGTGGCGTTTTCACATTTCTTTTTCAAGGACAGGTGGAACGAGCGCATCCTTGTGGATTTCACGTCCCCAAGGAGTGTCTAACGACGCCCTATGTCACACGAATCTGGATGACCGGAAGGCCCGGAGATGTCCGGATCCGGATCCAAGTCCAGACGTTTGGAGTCTTTGGACCATTCAGCCTTGTGGACGATATGGATGTCTGGGTGAAAATATGAAAAGGCTTTATGTAGAAACATTTGAAAATAGTTATATAGCTTTGCGAAGTCAAAAAAAAAAAAAAAGAAAGGGAAAAAAAAGGACTTTAAAGAAGTCCAGTTTAGTGGCAGGTAGGTAGTGGAAGGTGAATTGAGAGAAATGTAGAGTGGCAAAATGGTTAACTTTTGGATGAGGGTCTTCTTTTTTTCTTTTTTCAATTTGGACCATTTCTCGATTTATGTGTGTCATCCTTGCCCAGGGGCCATGCTAAATTGTTGCTAATCTTCACTGTATCATTCCATTGGATGTCTCGAAGGACAGGATGAGAGTCTTCTTAAACCACCAGTACTTCCTAGAGTCGTGCCCGTTAACGCGCCACAATTTTAGGAAACGTACGAGCTACTACAGGAGAGGCCAAATTCATCCGACTAGAAACGTTTCTACTCTATTTTTCACCGTGGCCTATAGCTGCGCCAAGTACTGGTGGTTTAATACCTATTTGCAACCTATTTGCAACCTATTTGCAACCTATTTGCATTTTACCAGGTCCTTGCCTCTCCATGAAGAAGGATTGGCCACCCGCTATTGGACTAGCTGAGTCGAGCTCCTTGTTGGTTCTTTCTTTGTGAATACGACCGCTACCCGCACATTTGTCTGCTCTCACTGATGGCCTCTCCCGGAGCGGTCTGCTCGTTGGCTCCACCTCGCTCCCATGGGGGCAAAATCACCCTTACTGGAGTTATGCCATTGTTCCTATCTAAGGGCATACTCACACTAGGACGTTTTTTTTCAACTCAGCTCTGGACATGGTTGCAGCCAGGTTCATTCAGATCCAGCCATAATTGTGGTCTGTTACTTCAAAAAAAGTGCTAGTGTGAGTATGCCCTGAGGTAAGTATTTTCCAAGGTGGTGATCTTCTCCTCGAAGATCCATACGTCCTTGAAATCCTCCCTTCGCTGCTATCTGACCGGTCTTGCAATGGATGTGTCTCTCAATGGCACTTACGAGGTCGGCGTGTCGGATTGTTAGCGTATGATTGGCCGCCTGAATCAACGGACTTGCACCGCAAAACAAAGCACCTTCGGCCTCTCACGGCGAGCGCAGCACGGCGTTTGACAGCATGGATTCAGCTCCCGTTCTGCACCACATTCCTGTCACTCTGCGGAGCTCGGACTGCCGAATGGAACAGGCTAACATTGGCTGGAACAGGAAAGATCGTAGAAAGAGAAACGTAGATCTGTAAACATTGCGCCAAAACTTTAAGGAAGATGTCAATGTCAATGGGACGTTTTTCTGTTGTTGTCAACGGTAAAGATCCGCCACATAATCAACACACGTAAGCAAAACCGCAATGCTGGCATGCCTGAAAGTGACCCCTTCTCTCAAGGATTTTGCTGACTTTGTTGTGTGTGAGGTCGTGTGTTCAAACTTCAAACACCTATGGCATCATCAATCAAGAGCACCCTGGAGTGGTATATCTGCCACTGTCACATGTGTTGGCAAAAGTCCGGTGAAACTTCATGGAGTGGTATCTGTCTTTGTCGCATGTGTTGGCAAAAGTCAGATGAAACTTCATGGAGTTGTATCTGTCACTGTCACGTTGAGGTTTAAGTTCGGTGTAACCTTCGCATGTGTTGGCAAAAGTTAAAAAAAAAAAAAAAAAAAAAAACTTAAAAAAGTTAGATGAAACTTCTTGGAGTGGTATCTGTAACTGTTTCATGTGTTGTCCAAAGTCCGATGAAATTTCATGGAGTGGTATCTGTCACTGTCACGTTGAGGTTTAATTTCGGGGTAACCTTCGCATGTGTTGGCAAAAGTCCGATGAATCTTCATGGAGTGGTATTTGTCACTGTCACGTTGAGTTGAAATCGAAGAGTGGCTATTGGGAACGCTGGGGCTGCTTGCAAAAAACAAAGACTCTGTTCAAAACACACGTACTCGTCACGGGAGGAGTAAGGAGTAGAGAGAGAGAGAGAGAGAGAGAGAGAGAGAGAGAGAGAGAGAGAGACAGACAGAGAGACAGACAGACAGACAGACAGAGAGAGGAGAGCGAGACGAAAGAAGAAGAAACAGCAAGGAACAAGAGGGAGTGAGGTAGTACGCAGAAGCTGTGACAGCAAAAGCCCCATGGCTCAAAATAAAATGATAAAGATACACTCAAATGCTGTGATGCTTTTTTCTGCAGCGCTGTGTTTAGTGAACATGAAAACACGTAGATGTGCATATCACTTGTTATCAGGCCACATGTTTCTGATCCCTCCCTGTACCTGTTCATCATGTGTGGACTGATTTGCGGTTTGCAGCTCGCAAATCTTATCGGCCTTCGGACATCAAGATCAATTATAGGTTCAGGTATGTCCTATCTTTTAACTTGGTACAATAGGGGAAATTTGTACTATCCGGGTAACTTGGGTACCATCCCCGTAACTTGGTACCGTCCTGGTAATGCGGTACTCGCCAGGTGCGATCCCGGTAACTTGGTACTCTCCGGGTATGATTCCTGTAACTCGGTACCATCCGGGTAACGTGGTATTATGATTTATCCTGGTAAATTGGAAGTTGGCACTCTCCGGGTAACTTGGAGTACTAGGTGACTAACCTGTCATCCCGTCTGGTGGAATGCATTCTAGAATACTTCAACATAATTGGCAATAAATCTCAAAGTCATGGTCTGCAAATATCTTGATCTTAGTTGTTGGAAAAAAAAAAAAAGTTGTTTAATCCTAGGTTGTTTTTCCGGGCGCCCAGGCACCCAACTTGTGCCCGGATACACGCCCTGGTGCCCGGCCGGGCATGACCCCTGGGCAGGGTTCCGGGCAGCCCCAGCGCAAAAAAGAAAAAAAGAAAAAAAGAAAAAAACGAAAGTAAAAAATTTCCAGAAAAAAAAAATGTTGTGTAGAATTGCAATACAAACAACTTTTGGCTGAGGGTCACTTCAGAATTCCTCACCGAAGAGATAAAAAACAAAATAACAAAATCACACTAAGGGACCCCCCTTTAAACCCCTTTAGCCCCTTTTAAGACAATTTATACCCCCCYCCCCCCCCCCTTTCCAGCCAACTCTCAAAAAATGAAAAGAGCCCGGATTTGGGGTCCTCTCTCTCTATATCACCTGCTCCACCTATTCCTGCATCAGCTAATCCTCCTCACACATCACCCCTTTTGCCGACACCCGCTGGCTCCCATGTTGCACCTCTTTTGCCAACACCCTCTCGGCCTTTGCCTCTCCTC